GGCCATTTTTTTGTTGCAGCCGTCATTGTTGTTTGGCGGGCCCGGGCTGGGGATTCGAACCCGCCACCTTAGGTGTACGTGGCTGGCGCCCTAGCCGCTTGAGCCACAGGCACTAAGCCAGAAGCTCAAATTAACCCATGGTTGGGGAAAAATATTTGCACCAGCAATAACAGAGAAATAATTATGGTCAGTTAAAAATAAAAAGGTAAATGTTAGGATCCTATAAATAATTAGACAGAATAAGAAAGATATTTTGCAATGTATGATTCAAAATTATTAAAAAGTTGTGATCAATTTCACTAGCAGTAAAGCCATATAAACCAAGACCATAATTAGACAATACCATTGTCAAATTATCAAGTTTTAAAATATTTACAATCCCAGTGTTTACTAGGGCTTAGTGAAATCACCAACCTCATATAGTATGTGGTAAAAAGGTGAAACCTTTTAAAACTATCTGACAATATATTTTATATAAGTTCTGCAATATATACAAACTTTCAGACATGTTATATTTAATCCCATTTTTAAAATTGGTTAAATAGAGTAATTAAAAACCTATCTTGTACAAGTTGTTAGTTAATAGTGTAAAACTACAAACAGCATGTCTAAAATGAGATTTCTGTTACAAATTATGTAATGCCTTTGTTGGAATACTAACTGCAAAACAGCATGTGAAGAATGCCTAGAAATGTAGTTGTCACTTTGTATCCATGGGGTCCACACCCATGGATTAAAGCAAACATGTATCAAAAAAGCTAGAACAATAATGGTACTTGTACTGAATGTGTACAGACTATTTTCCCATCATCATTTTCTAACCAACACAGTATAGCAACTATTTACCTAGACTTTATATGGTCTCTAGGAATGATTTAAAGCAGACTGGATATTCATGCTTGTGTGCAAATGCCATTTTGTACAGTGACTTGAGCATCCAAGGATTCATTATCCAAGCACAAGAGTGTCTCTGATGAATATTGAAGACTGCCTATGTACATAAACTAAAAACAAAACAAAATTAAATGAATCTATGCAAAAAGAACTGCAAGGAAATGCCTTTGACTGTTACCCAGTGTCTGTCTTTGGATGGTAGTATGGTTGTTGATTTTCTTTGCTTTGACTTTTTACTTTCTAAATCGTCTATAATGAGAATGCATTGTTTTTTAACAAGACATTCAATAATTTTTTAAAACAACATTACTTATTGTTGTGTTTTGAAATAAAGAGGCATATACGAGTGGTAATAAGCAGAGTGCAGCAAGAATCGAAGATTTTTTTCCCCCTAGGTTGATGATACAAGGAATTGATGAAACTAGACCCAGTTAAGTAGGAAAGGAAACCAGATAAAGGGCTGAGCATTCTGAAGGCTGAGTGGTGCTGCCTCTAACACTGGAAGGATGGATCTGTTGGATCATAATTATCTGTTAAGGAACCCAGGTCACCGTTATTCTTCCTATGCAACACGCTAAAAGCAGGACTACTGCGCACTTCGAGGATTAAATGCTCCTTTCTGTTTCTCAGTAACAGGAGTACTGCTGAAGTGGTTAAGCTGAGGCAGAATCATTTCCTCTAGCTTTTCACTTGCAGTATTTTCGAATGCATCCAGCCAGCTCCACCTCCACGCATGTTCTGTTTCTCATGCTGAGCTCATGCCAACCTACCACTTTATGCTTTAGGGTTAAAATGGTTAATACAAATTGGATCCTCACAATAAAATCTCTCCTCTTTACTCAAGAATTGTTCAAAACTTTGGCTGATGTAAAAGCACTTAGGATTTACGAAGTGTTATTGCAGAATTAAAGAAAACTTTCCAAAATGAGTACTTTAAAAGGGAATTATCGCAAATGTATGTCACTATTATAAAAAAAAAAGGCTATTTTTATTTTAACTAAAAGTATTTTTGTTATAAAAAAAATTCTCTACATATCAAGAATAGGTGAAGTCCTAGCTTTGGGTTTGGCTATTTGTCAGAGTCCCTGACACCCATACTTTCTGTGACTGTGCTGTCTGCAATATCTGGTCTGCTCAGCTAACGAAGACCCAGCACATGCTAGGGCTGTGCTGGGAAAGAGACTGAGCACTGCACAGTAACTGAGTGTGTCAATGCCAAATCTCTGTGGGTTTATTCTGTCTGTTTTAACATTTTTGTGTATGTTATTATGTTTTTTACCAAAATGATTTCTTCTCATGGATTTAATGGTCAGCTCTGTCCTGTGAAGTATTAATAATTTTTCCTCTAACTCAAGTAACTATGGAGGGGTTGGCTTCAGCTCAGGACGCAAGAGTCATGGCCATTTCAGAAACGTAAGATGGTTTGAGAAATAATAGGAACTTACTGACATAGAGTTTAGGGATGCAAAATGTCCTGACTTATCCTAAGAACAGGCTTCGATGTCTGCTTAAATTGAAAACTAGGGTCATTTCACTAATTACAAGATCAACTTTTAAGGAAGAAAGACACGTTGGAAGTATCATCCTCAACATATTGGGAAGGCACATTCTGAAGCTTGTGTATGTGGGTGTGTGCACAGGCTCCAGGCATTCTCTAGACAGGCTTTGCACCATGCTTGGTATTCTACACAGTTTGCAAATATGTTGACTTTGTATGTACAAACACCTATAGGGAAACAATATTTCAAATGAATAAATGTGCACTTTAAGTACCAGGCTTTAAACTATAGGATTCTTTGATGTTTGATTACTGTGAGTTAGGTTTCAAGAGGTGTCCCCACCCACTGCACTATCAGTCAAGTCTGCCCAATTAACGGCCCCTAAAAATGGCGATGATGCCAAAGGAGAAGCAGGTGAAAAGATCTAGTCCCTGGAAGAAGGCTTTAAAAATATTGGTCTTAAGACTGACTCTGAAGCACGTGGCATTGAACAGAAGCAACGTCTTTATATTTATTTTTAAACACAAAATTATATGTGGTAATTTTTACATTTTTAATATTCTGAGAATTGGATTTTTCTTTTCCTCTCCTTTTAAAGTATTGTATTTATTTTTATATTTGTTACTTTGTATTCTTTACTGGGAAAATTTCTCATTTTGTGTATTTTCCATATCCATTTTCTGTGTTACACTTTCCCTCATCTTGGAAAGAACTGTTATGCCCTAAGCATGGGTTCCCTGAAATTGGATATAAATTACATTCTTAGCTCAAAATATCTATCGGCTTACACAAATCAAGCTCAGTTTTATAAATTAAAATTCTATTTCAAATACTTTCAATGTAATTGATAAATTCTATATATAGATAAGGCTTAAATAAGAACAATTAGATGTTAATCCCCTCGAAAAAATGATAGGGACCTATTTTTTTTTTATACTGGAATATTTTGACTATGTATCAAAATGAACTTTCTGAATTTTTAAGTTAAAATCTAAAAAATGACAAGTCCTACAAAATGGTGAACAGATTAAAACATTTCCTTTATTTTTCAAAATGGGTGGATTTGAAATTCAAGCAATAAAAACATTTAATCTATAAGTGACTGGCATCATTTTGCTTACAGTTGATTCAGCTTCCATAAATCAGCCATTATTTTCTTTTACTTGTGATAAAATTCTTGCCCCTAGACTGAACTCCTTGGCCAAACTTTAATCTCTTTAAATAACAAATACATGTTCCGTATTTCTTCCCCAGGTATGGGAGAAGACTTTATCTACAAGGATCCCACTATAAATGAAAAATTAGAGAGGAGTAAAGAATATACATACCAATGGCTTCACACACAGGTTGGGGTTCATGAAACAACTAGTTCCAGAAAAGTGAAATGGTGAGGTCCTTTCCTTTACCTTAGACCTTTGTATCATAAACGCATTTTGAAATGTATAACCCAGGTTGATCATGTTAAAACACACAAACTTTATAGATAAAAGGCCAATACACCATGTTGCCAGGTAATGAAAAAGCTTTTAAACACAATAGATTTAATCACTCTTTATATTTTTCACCCTGAAATGTTTGGGAAGAACTCTTCTGTAGAGTGTTTGAAAGGAACAGATGTCACAAATTTTTCTACTTAAACTTCAAAGATTTGACATAGATGTTTATGATTTTCATGTTAGCTATATGTATCCACAAAAGAGTAAAAAAGAAGTGTTACTGTAGGCATTTAAGAAATATGTAAAGCACAACTGAATATAAATATAAAGAAAATTTTAGAAATATTTCCAAGCATTGTAGATAATAATTATTTTACATGAGTAACAAACACACAAAAACCTACAATAATTAGGATTAAAACTTACTTAAACAGCAAGTCACAACATGTTAAAAAATAAAACTTCTTTTGATTGTTATATCATATGATTTAAACCTTGATATGTGATCAATTCTATCCATTTAATTCTTTTAAAAAATATGAAAATCATAGGAAAACAAGAATGAAAATGAAATTAAAACATCTTATAGTCTTAATTATGTCATATTTCATTATGAAGTAAGAGTAAAGGTATCAGTGTTTGAGATATTTTAGTTTTCTAAGTATTAAAATTAATGTAATCATTATTTTATGTCATTATTAATCAATTTAGATTAATTCACAGCATAGTGTTATAGTCCATTTTGTGTTGCTTTAATAAAATACTTGAGGCTGGGTAATTTATAAAGAAAAGAGGTTTAATTTGGTCATGGTTCTGTTCAACGGACATGGGACCAGCTTTTACTTGGTTTCTAGTGCGGTGTCACATGTGGCAGAAAATCAAAGAGAAAGTGGACATATGTGAAGGGCAAAATCAAGAGGCATCCTGACTTTCCAACAGAGGAATCAGGCCAGTCCCACAGGGGAGAGAACTCATTCACCATCACAAGTAGGCACCAAACCAGTAACAATGATCCATCTCCACGACCCAAATACCTCCCACCAGGTTCCACCACTCAGCACCACTACAAAGGGGATCAAATTTCCACACGAGCTTTGGAGGGGGCAAACCATATCCAAACCACAGCAGATAGCATTTTTAGAACAATAAACAAATAAAATAGAACCTATAGGGTGGAGCCTGTGGCTCAAGGAGTAGGGCGCTGGCCTCCTATACCGGAAATGGAGGGTTCATACCCGGCCCCAGACAACAACTGCAACATCAACAACAAAAATAGAACCTATAGCTTGCCATCTGTATTAACTAGATTTTAGAGGTCTCGTTCAGAGATTTGAAAGCATTATAATAGATGCAGTGTAATGAAATAGATAAGAAAAGTGTTTCAGGATGAATTTAAATATACTTAAACATTCCCTCACTAGTTATTTATATAACTAATAAATACATTATATTTAAATATCTGAAACAATAAACACTTGTTTGTGAATATTCTATTTTATGAATATAGTATATAAAGGAATAGGTAGTATTTCAAGAAAAATTATCTCTTGAAAAGCCAAATTTAATTTTAAACAAAAGTTTATTGCAACCATTATTATAATGCATTAGATACAATAGAGCTAATTTCAAAAATAGGAAGCTTTCTCTTTTTCAAAGACAACTTAAAAGATATAAGTAAAGGTAAAGAGATATTTAAATTTTCTGTGATTTAGTCATGAATTATTAGTACTTTGTTCTCTGCACGTGTTCATGCTTGGCAGAGAAGGGTGGTGTTAAACTGCTGCTGAGAAATTGACATTTTATGTCAAATTGAATCGTAAGAAAGCCATGGAAAGATGTCAATTTGTTTTGACATTTTCATAACCAAATCTAAAAAAACTACTTTTTTATAATCTTGTAAATAACTGATTTCTCCCAGGCTTTTTATCTGGGTATTTCTTTCACATGCGTCTTACACGTTTGTATTATAACACGTTTTCTGCTTTTGTCCATGTGCAGCAATCGCTTCTTGCCTGAGTTAGATCCAGACGTACTGAATGGTGGAAGAGTTCAGCTTGTGGTAAGAAATGTGTTTAAAGTTACAGAAAAATGCTGTCGACACCAGTGCCTAATAAATGGCACTTTCGAATGTGTCCATAATTAGTTTCAACTATGAAAATATCACAAGTGTATCTATTCGGGGTAATCTCAAAATACGGTGTTAAAGTAATAACATATTTTTTCCACTAGTACTGTAAGTTTACCATATGATGTTGCCTTAAAATTTTAACTTTTTATGACAGATGTAAAAACATTAGCATGCTACTATTTTAAAATCAAATTTTTTCTGGAGGGTAAATTACTTCATAAAATTATTTTCTTGACTATTCTAAAAGAATAGAAGTATACTACACTCTAGGGAAATACCAACTTTGCCCTCACAAATCTGGTTTTATGATAAACCATGTAAAAATTAGTAACTAATTGTAAGTTCAACCACCCTAGGTAATAAGGTGTAAATTATTGGAGCTTTAAGGACAACTCAGTTTTAAACGTGGTGACCAGAGTGAAGACTCAAGGCAGTATAAGGGTATGTAACAGAAGAAGGGCAAACATTGGGTCCAGAAAAATGAATCCCTCAAAACAAGGAATTTTCAGTGTTTCCAGAACATTCCAGAGGACAGGTGCCCAGTCAAGGTTTCCTGAAAGAGAACAAAAAATATTAAATGAATAGCTAATTAAAATATTTATGATAATATTTATGGAGTCTATGCCCAGGTAGGAAATAATCACTCAGCCTGTGTTTTCCTGCATTTCCTTAGAGACCCCTCTATCAGAGTAACATGCAGATTACCACAGGATAATTGCTACTGGAGGCTATAATTTAACACATATTATTGATTAACACTGTGACACAAAGTAGTAAGTGGCCACTGCCAAAAGTTCCAGGATAAAGAAATGATATTTTATTTAATTATTAAATGAACTTTTACAAATGAATGAGAATAGATTGGATAGATTACTGATCAAAATGCTTCTATCAGATTAGGGCTTGGATACCGATCCTCTCCTTCTAGACACCTCTCTATTCCACTACATACAAATACTTGATAAATGCATAGCCATCATGATGTTTTTATAATGAAGAGATGTGACTGGACAAACAATCAAGGTAAACGGTAGTGGAACACATTTTTTTTCTTTTTTTCTTTTTTTTGTAAGGGGACGCAGAAGCACGGATCAAGGGCTTTTATCAAAAGGATACTGGCTGGCAGAAGGACCAGAGTAGAAAAAGCACTCCACTTGCCCACTTATGCCAGGAAACTGGGCCCAGGCTACAACTAAGAGGGAAATGAAAGGAGAAAAAACAAAAAACAAACAAACAAACAAAAAAACCCTGCCACTACTGCAGTATAAAATCCTCAAATATATAAGAAAACTACCTAAAGGAAAAGGAAAGAAAATTATGGAACAAAGGAACGAACATGATCAAATGTTAATAAAAATTTGATGAATATGCAAATGAACCAATCGTGAATTCTGGAAATAAAAAATATCTTTCAAATACAGTCTAGACACATTAAAAGAAAGGATTAGTAAATTAGAAGATTACCTACAAGGGAACAATAATTAGATTGATAACTGACTTAATATCAGCTACCATGAATGATGAAAGACAATAGATAATATTTCTTTTTTTATATATAACATATGATATTCTTTACATATAAAAATATATCAGACAGCATATAAAAGAGACAGACAAATAGCCAGGCTTTGTGGCAGGCGCCTGTAGTCGCAGCTACTTGGGAGGCTGAGGCAAGAGAATAACCTAAGCCCAGGAGTTGGAGATTGCTGTGAGCTGTGTGATGCCATGGCCCTCTACCAAGAGTGATAAAGTGAGACTGTGTCTCAAAAAAAAAAATACAGACAATTGTATATATTGTTAATTGATTAAATGTGTCTGCCAAAACTCTAAAATTTTCCTGCAAAAACACAGAGTTATGGTTCAGCTTCCATACTCTGAAATTTTGGTATTTAAGTGCTGGAGGTTTATTATGGAAGGCTTTCCCGAACTACACCTGTGAGACAGGACAGGAACAGGATGGAGTGGAGAGAGAAGTTAAAACGCATCAGTAAAGCTGCAGCAAGGAAGAGATCCCCGGGGCTGGGAGGCCCTCTGTGTTCTCCCAGCTCAAGACAGGAGGCTCAGTCTTTAATGTTCCTGCATCTCCTCAGGAGGAGATGTGACTGCAGCTTAGGACAGTTCACAAAGACGGATTTGCCTGAAACCACCAGGCTGCAACTTTCTCAGTAACTGCCTCTGTCTCCATTTTTAAACTTGATCTGGGTGGAATATGATAATATTAAGGTAAGTTTATTATTCATGGGCACAACTGACAGGGGTGTCCAAATGCGGCCCATGAGCTTCTTTGTGGTGTCAGATGTCCTGTAAAGTCTACATGAGACTTTCCTTTTGCTCATCAGCTGTGTTAGCGTGTGTGTATTTAATGTGTGGTCCAAGACAACTCTTCATCTTCCGACGTGTGGCAGAAAACAAGAAAGGTTGGACACTCCTGATTAGTACCTAAATGTGTCAGTGGTCCCCACATCTATTACTTAAAAGAAATCCAGTCAATGGTATAGCTGATTTGGGGGAGCCTAAGCAATCTCATCCTAAAATATATATGGAGAAATAAAAGCCCAGTAATGCATACGTCAACTTTAAAAAGGAGCAACTTGCATCACAAAATATAAAGATTTACCACAATGGCCCGGGTATGGATAAGTAGAACAGTGGAAGTGAGTAGTGCTGATAAGGTTGGAAAGCTCAAATTGGTTAGTATTCAGTAAATCACAATGAAAATATTAAACAGTAATTCAGAAAATTTGAAGATCCAAATATGAAAGGTAAAGATATAAAACAGATGAAATAAAGAATAATATCTTTGCAACGTAGCAGTGAAAGAGAAGATGTTTAAAAAGATACAAGTAGGGTGGTGCCTGTGCTCAGTGGGTAGGGCGCCAGCCCCATGTACTGAGGGTGGTAGGTTCAAACTCAGCCCCAGACAAACTGCATCAAAAAATAGCCAAGTGTTGTGGTGGGCATCTGTGAACCCACCTACTCGGGAGGCTGAGGCAAGAGAATCACTTAGGCCCAGGAGTTGGAGGTAGCTGTGAGCTGTGACACCACAGCACTCTACTGAGAGTGATAAAATGAGACTTTGTCTCAAAAAAAAAAAAAGATACAAGTAGTACAAACTATATGATGAAATTGTGTTGAATATTCCCTTCTATGAAGAATTGTATAGAAAAGGTTAACAGACTTATGTGTACTATTTAATATTATTTTAGAATAATTTTAGAATTCAACATATCTTTCAGGACAACAAATATTAAATATGTGTGATCAGTAAGCCTTCTGTGTCCACAGATTCAAACAACTGTGGCTTGAAAATATTCAAAATAGGGCGGCACCTCTGGCTCAAAGGAGTAGGGCGCCAGCCCCATATGCCGGAGGTGGTGGGTTCAAACCCAGTCCTGGCCAAAAGAAAAAGAAAATGTTCAAAATAAATTTTAAAACAGTAAATTTTAAATACAATAAAAATAACATGTTTATATGTTCAATGTATAAATTACATGTAAAATTTAAATAAATTTTAAAAACAATAGAAATAACAATACAATAAAAGAATGCAAAAAAATTACAGTATAGCAACAACTTGCACAGAATTTAAATTGAGTTATTTTAAATGACCTAAATGATTTAAAGTATAAGGGAGGATAAGCATAGCTTATGTGCAAGTAATGGTCTATTTCATATAAGAGCATTCACAGATTGTAGTATCTGAAGAAGTGCAAGATCAAATCCCCTACAGATTGCAAGGATGACTGTATATCCTTTCTGCATAATTAGAAGAAAATACTTATCGTCTTTACACTTCGCTAGCAGTAAAAGGAACAGTGATGTTCAATTTGATAGTGAATGGTTCAGAAATAGGATCTAAATCTTATTGCATGTAGGCTGTGGCAGATGCCCTGAGAACATCTAACTGACCCATTTATGAAATTTCTAGGCTGGTCAATGGCACTACTGTGAAACTGTGCCTGTTAATTTCACTTCTAAATTTGATTTCCAGTATAATCTGACCAAATTAGTAAACGACACTAATCGTTTTCTATTTTGGAAGAAACCATCTTTTGTATGTTAATGACTTAGATGATAATGAGATTTGGGGGAGGTGTTCACAAATATTTTCTTGATGTGAAGGTATCATCTCATTTGGGGGAAGATAGGATTTCTACTTTCTAAAGGGGAATAGCAAAATTACATTATCAAATTTAAATTAAAAACATTTGAAATATTAAGGCTTATCGTTGAATCCTCTTTAGTCAGCAGTAGGGTCCCTTTTGTGGTTAACAAGTTCTTCCCTGTTATCTAACTAGTCTCACGGAAGTTGTGGTATTATTTTTATATTTCCCCTAAATTTTTGACTGACTTTTTCTAAGTCTTGCCATCCATGGAGCTATTCTAGTGGGAATGTTAGACATGTTCTTGTGTTCTAATTTAACCAAATTTACAAAAGAAGAAGGGACATTGTTTATACCCACACAAGCGTAGATTGAAAGGCAATTTCTTATGTGTTTCATTTTAAAGTTATCTACTGAGGTTTTCTGACAATGCAATTATGTCATTAGCCGGTAACATTAAAAAATAACTTACATTATAGAATGGTTTCTATTCTGAGTTCAGCAACAGAAACACTTGCTTACTTAAAAATAATAAACATGTGAGGTAATGCACATGGTGATTAGCTCAAGTTGGCCATTCCACAGTGTATTCATATTTCAAAACATCATGGTGCACATATGACTTTTGCCAATTAAAAAACAAATACATTGGGGGAAATAAATAAATAAATAGAAGCTCATGTGCATGAGAGCAGGAAGAAGGTGGGAAGGGAGATGTAAAAGAGAAGGGCAAATAACTGGATTTGAAAGAGTATAAATTTTAGATTCTGGTTCCTTGAGTCTTTGTAGCTCATCATATGGAAATAACTTTTTAACCACGGTGGTGGTTTTATGTTTTTATTTTGCTGTATTCAAATTTCCCTTACATCAAACATTAAGGACAGTGCTTTTTCACAGAATTTCGGGCATACTGTGTGGTTTGGGTTAAGTCCTAGCTATTTTGAGGTTGCTTTGCTCTCCATCATGGCCTTTTCCCCCAGCTCAGAGCTGAATGCTGATAAATGTTTACTTAATGGTATACAGCATTATGTGAAACAATGTTGTTTTGGTAAGAAGCCATTCTTTTGACACTTAGGTTCAGGCCAAGATAGTAATAAAATGTTAAAGCTAATCTGACATAAAAATGAATAATCTAATTTTATGTTCTTAACATAATGTTTTGAATTTTCTATGTATTTACATTTACCCACAAAATCATACTTCATGTGTAATATTTTTATTGATAATCATTGCAATGTGAAGGTTGAGACTGTCTGACTTTTTCGTAGTACATAAATATATGATAAAAAGCATTTTGGGGAATTTGATGATAAGACTAACACTTAAAAATAGTAAAAAAAGAAAATGAAAAAGAAAAGAAATAAATATTCCAGAAAACAATCCAACATGATATTTCCAACATTCAGTGAAGAATTAAATAATATATTTGGAAGAGTGATGTTAAGCTGTTTAATGTTTCATCGTCTGCCTTTGAGATTGATTTTCATCAGAAATTACTATACTAAAATGTTTTCTTTTGTTGTACAGGCTCAACTAGCAAACCTCAATTTTAAAATCGGCTCTTATTTGCAAAAAATGCTTTGACATAGTGCATTTGTTCTGCCCGGGCAGCAATAAAGGATTGTGGTATCATTTTGAAGAAGGTTGTTTGACAGAGCCTGTTTGTTTATTTGGGGTAATGTGAGCTGCATTCAGAAAATGCCATATTTTGTTTCATGATTGTATACATTCTCTCCCATTGCTCCCAGGCAAGGCTTGTAAGCAGAGAAGACACGGATTTAGCCCTTTCTTCCATGACCAGTGGAAGTCCTTTGTCTGTGAACAGAGGGAAAAAAAATCAGGCACACAGATACTCAGCGGGATCTTCAAGTAAGTTGTGGTTTCCTTTAAAATCAATTTAGAAATCACAAACAAATTGATGGAACCTAATGCCAACAAGCATTCTTTTACAGATAGGGGGTAGGATGCCAGCAACCAGATCTGCCCAGAAATGTATATTTGAATTTTTTTCATTAAAAAACTTCTTTTGATACACACAAAATTAAATTATTTCTAAAATTAACTGTGTTTTTATTTTAATTGTATTGTGTGATTCAATATCTCCTGCTTCCCCTACCCGGTGGATCATGTTGAATTCTTTGATCATTTAGTGCTGAAAGAAGTTTTTAGACTAATTGTAAAAAATTGGACTTATACATGAAAGTAGTACATTTTGGCCTTTAATAATTGATTTAATAGGGACTATGTGTAAAGTGAATTTTTAAAGAAAATTTTTTAAATAATAAAAATTTAGATAATATTATACTGCCAAAATCCATGCTTTTAAAAACTATCTCCATTGGATAGGTTAGAATTTGATTATGTCTATTAATGATGACTTCATGTTTATAAACCTGTCACATCTATTGCCTCTAATTTGGGGAGAAAGCAATTTTCTTTATGTTTATAATATTGCCTTGCCATTATCAACTCTGGAAAAATGTAAGAATTAAAAATGCCTGTCTTATGGTATTTTAGGGGAAAAGAGCTTTATTTTTTCAAAGTTCTCATTTAACTTATACTCTACAGATTTTGAAATATCCTCTAAAATGTTATGGTAAGTTAGTATAAAAGATGTTTTATTTAATGTCCTATTTTGTAAACTTCTCTGAAGTATAGTGAAACTCAGAAGTTCACATATTAACTTACACTTCATTGTGATTATTCTTGAAAAAGTTTTATTACTTATTGATATTATAGTAAGGTATATGCAAATACATATGCAAAATCAATGCTTAATTGAATGTGAGAAATTCCATGGTCCAGATGCTGCTAAGGAAATGAAAATTTCAAAATAATTCCCTGATTTTCCTTTTTCCCCAGGTACTTGGCTTTTTTAGATTATAATCATTTATAGTCATTAATGCATGCAAATTCATTTTGATAAATTTTAATTTGTTTTCTGAAATAATTTTAATTGCCTAATTTTTAAATATTTTCCATGCTTCAAAGAATGAATGCTTGAATTTCTTACATGGTTATAGAATTTGGTCATTGAAACATTGCTGCAGTCAATATAGTTAAGAAAGATATATTTTAGGTTTATTGATCTAAGTAAAATTATTACTCTAATATCAATTTTCAGAGTTACTAACATAATGCTTTAATTGTATCAATTTTCAAGCTACACATTCAATTACAGAAGAAATCAGCCTCCGTCTCACATAGTAAATAATGATATTTGTTTTGTATATTATATGTTAAAAACGCATATATTTTTGTCTTGGAGGATTATAGGTAAAAATAAACACACTAAAAATGAAACAAAAAAAGTTGCCTTGGCTCGGCACCTGTGGCTCAAGTGGCTAAGGCGCCAGCTACATACACCTAAAGTGGTGGGTTCGAATCCAGCCCGGGGCCTGCCAAACAACAATCATAGCTGCAACCAAAAAATAGCGGGGCATTGTGGCGGGCGCCTGTGGTCCTAGCTACTTGGGAGACAGAGGCAAGAGACTCGCTTGAGTCCAGGAGTTGGAGGCTGCTGTGAACTGTGATGCTACAGCACTCTACCCAGGGGGACAGCTTGAGGCTCTGTCTCAAAAAAAAAAAAAAATTGCCTTGTTGCTTTACAGATTATCAAAACTTCTGTTTATAATGTATCATCTGAATGCTAAAACACAAATCAGCAACTGTTCTGAAATATGCAAGCTTTATCTTTTACTTACGTGGTATTGAATGGTAGATTTTAAAGTATTAAAGATCATTATATAGAGTTTATTTCTTAACATATATTCTAAATCAGGAGTTCCCAACTTTCTTGGCACCAGGGACTGGTTTCATGAAATACAATTTTTCCATGACCAGGGAGTGGGAAGGCTGAGGGAAGGGGTATTAGATCGTCAGCCTGGATCCCTTGCACTCACAGTTTACAGTCTGCGCTCCTAAGAGCGTCTGGTGCACCTGCTGATGTGACAGGAGGCGGAGCTCAGGCAATGACGCGAGCAGGGGGAGTGGCCACAAACACAGATGAAACTTCACTGAGTTTGCGCACCACTGACTTCCGGCTGTTCCATGCAGCTCTGGCAGTCCACAGACTGGTAGTGGTCCGTGGTCTGTAGCTCTAAAAAACTGAAATTAAGCTATTCTCACTGTAATTACAGTTATTTGTCAATAAGTGATGTTATTGCAGATGCTTTGATGTCAGTATGTTTACTCAGTGATATTTTAAGGCAATGCACTTTAGCAAAACAGAGTTCTTATTGAAAAACAAAATAATTGTGAATAAAAGACTAGTTGCCGGATTCACGTACTAACTAGTTTTCTATTAACTTCAGCATAAGGCAATGGAAAGGAGTATGGCCGCTGGTGTCCATTTGCCTGAATTTAAAGCATGATTTAATTCTTAAAATGAGACTGATAAGAGAGGTATAGAAGAAGGATAAATTGGGCTAAGATGTTGAAGTCTCAATGTCTAAGTGCATGTGCCATCTTCCCTAGAATGTTGTAAAGCTTTGAAGAATAGTACCTGCTGTTTTCATTATCTGTTGTTGCATGTTTTATGTTATTATTGCATAATTTTAAAACACCTCCCAAACAGAATTATCTTCCTTTTGCGTGTGTAGAATAAAAACAGAATCGGCCTACTTTTAGCATGACAGCCATCTTGAACAATCTTGCCCTTTTTTTTTTTTTTTTTGCAGTTTTGGCTGGGGCCAGGCTTGAACCAGCCACCCCCAGTACCATGCCCTACTCCTTGAGCCACAGGCACTGCCCAGCAATCTTGTCTTTTCTTAGCAAATTTCCCGTCTCTTTCGCTTTAGATCTCACTGCTCCCTTACAAGGGGCCAACACAGTTATCTGCTATCTAAATTTCTAATCTATCATATGGTTTACAAAGAGATTAAAGAGGTTAAGTTCACATTCAAAAATCGCCATCTAGGGCGGGGCCTGTGGCTCAAAGGAGTAGGGCATCGGCCCCATATGCTGGAGGTGGTGGGTTCAAGCCCAGCCCCAGCCAAAAAAAAAACCTAAAAAATAAATAAATAAATAAATAAATAAAAATAGAAATTGCCATGTGTAAAAATGGACATGCCAAGAGAGTTCCTTATTTAGGTAATATTTAAGTAGAATATTTGTGATTTCACTAAGTGATTTTTATTTTCTCAATTAATTTCACTGTGTACTCCTTCAGGTATTCGTTACTATAATAATTTTATTGCTACAGCCATTTCCAGCTTTCAAATTATATTTAAGTGTCTTTTCTTATTTGTAATGATCCCATCTATTTAACAGTTAATCTGAAAAAGACTCAAGAATTTCACTAATTTGCTTTTGCACACACACACACAAATAATTAGCGAGGGAGAGTAGCAACTTGAATCTATTTTTTCTTCTTTCAAACTCAGTGACACATTCTCTGTTATTCTTCCATGGGCTAACATATATGACTTATTTGGGAAAAAAGTAGAATGTAAATTCAAGTGGTTCATATTATTAATGTATTGAAGAGCCATATTTATCGAATGCTCAGTGTTTGCGATATACCTCTTATTGGTTTTCAGGCTCCTCCTCCTTACCATGGCTCCACTTCCCAGATTACATTCTACTTTCACAGTCAGGGATTGAGAACACACAATATCTGCATCACAGTGGATAGTCAGCCTCTAGTCAGGTACATATAAACCCTCATGAAATTAAGCCCTTTTAACATAACATATAATTTCTCCATATGAAGAAGCATTTCATGTGGATGAAGTGAATGAGGAGGCAATGTCCTCGATTTGGATCTAGAACGGTGCTCGGATTAGAGTAAGGGAACAAGTGGAAGAAAATCACTTAGACAAAGGCTGAATAGGAAGATGCATGTGTGGAATACTGAGGGGTCTATCTGAAGCTGAAATTCCACATACTGAGGTCATGTAAGTAAGGATGGATTTAACAGGAAATCGCTTTTAGATAAGTTTGAAAGTAATGTGGAAGACTTGAACCTTTCTACTAAAAATGATAATGAAAGACATCTAAAATTAATTAGGTGTTTTAGACCGCTAATACCAGTTGAAGAAAGATATTCTGAATTTGGACTAATATTACATACTGCCTCCAATATATTGATGGACTAATTTTATAGCTTTATTAAAAATGATTATTTTATCAAAATGAAATAGATTGCTAGAATTCCATGCCCAATGTTTTATACAGATTGTTGACACTAATCTTTTAAAAAGCAAAAGCAAAAGTAGATTCCAAAGACAGCATTTAAGAATTATTCAAGTGGAAAAAGAACATATAATAATACAATTTTGAATTTGTAAATCAAAAATATTAGCAGGTTGTATTTTTGTGTATATCTATGTATACAATTATATGTGCACTAGTATATGAATATATAATTTGTACACAGTTGTACTTTATATACATAGTCTGCAATCATAATTCCATGCGGAGTTTACTCAATGATTAAATATTGTATATATATATATCTGAGTAATTATTTAAACCACATATAATGATAGTAAGCAATTATATGCTTTCCATGTACAAAGCACACCTACAAGCTATTACGAAAATACAGAGATCAATTGTACGTGTCCAGCACATCACAGGCATCTTAGATTAAGAGAATAAATGAACATATGAGCCATTGTCCCTGTTCTCCTATATCTAATATTCGTATCACTTTATTTTTCAATGGTTTTTGTCTTCTACACAATAAGAAAAAGCATTCTTATTAACATTCTATGGACTCATCTCTAAAGACTAGTAAATGGTTGCAGATATTAAAGGAAGGTCATTATATACTGTAAAGAGCAGTCTATGATAGTATTCAATCAACATGAAGATGGGATTTTTCAGGGGTGGCCTCCATGGGAAGGAAAATCTCTTTTAGTAGT